GTTTTATGAAAGTGCCCACTGTTAAATGCAAAACCGTAGACTAGTTTATCTGAAATTGGAGTGTCACTCCACATTTCACTATTATGATCAAGTTAAAATGCGTATCCAGACAGCCGAACCATTCCGATTGTAAATGTTTTATTTTTAAGTAAATAAAACCGTTGCTTCACGCCAATGCTGGAGACTGCGAAAGCAAATCCTCGTCAAACACTTGCATCAGTAACTACTTCCACTTCTTGCAATTGATGCATCAGTGTGTTTGCAGTCCCCTTTCAGTCTAACCTTGTTAAAGTTATTTGCTGCCAAATTGTGGATCTCCAACATCCACTTTGTGGCGTCTCCATTTAAGCGTCACGTCTTCTCACTTTTATCACTGCCTTATTCATTGGTCGAAAGCTCGAAGTTGCCAGCAGTACACTTTACACCCACTGAAATGAGGAGAGTTGAAATTCGTACAAGGTAAGTTGTGCATGGAGTTTTTGGCCTCTAAAGTCCTCCATGTAAACTCAAAATTTGGGTTTTCCTTAATTGCTTTAAATCTTTGCTTCATACGATAACTTGGCTTGCGGTGTAACTGTGCACAGCTTCGTTCGCAATCGTGGACACCCAACCGGTAGGTAAGGCAAAATTAGTTTTGTTACTCAACTCCGTGTTCTACGTGAAACCAAAGCATAAACGCGTGTTTTTAATGCGACAACTTCACAAAAGCTCACTCCTACTTTAGCACCCAGGCTGGAAAGTGGTTGTAAACCATCAAAGCAAGCATCCTGCTTTTTCATTCTATTTCACAAATGGCTCCTTTTAAGAAGTGTCTTCACTGGAGCTACAAAGTAAGCACTCTGCCATTTGCATATAGTGGCAGCGTGGCAATGCGGAAGAGGGACACTTACTATGCCCAACTGGAGGTACTTAAGCACTCGAAAGACCACCTCGTCCCAACCACCCCTACCTAGCGAATGAGCACTTGCGCATCAGAATCGTAAATGAATTCTATAAGGCATGTTCCAACTTGTTTTTTAATAAAAAATAGCCTTTGCAAATACAAAACGCAAGTCATGTCCATTGCCAAAGTCGCCACAAAGGAAGAAATAAGTGATTGTGAGTCATTAGGTGTTGATCTCAGCTGAGGTTGCACTTGGCAGTGACATCTTTGACTTGACAAGTGAGTGGCTTGCATTTAACTAGAGAGACTTAAAGCTACACCAAATCTCAATTTTAACTTGATTAAACGGCGCAAATCCATTAAGAGCATTCAGAATTCAGCAGTATCTTTAATCTTCTTCTGTGTGGGTATCCGAGCACTTGCAATACTATGCCAGATGCCTGGGGGAATAATTTTTTATCCTTTATTGAATAGGCACAGCACTTGAGTAAAACACACGTTCAGCAAAAAGGGTGGAGATGGGAACTTTTGGCATGGCCCAGAGGATCGGGTGGCTTCAAGTCATACCAGCGCTCAAAGAGTTTCAAGTCACTTGAGGACTCCGAGAATAAAGATTTCGTTTAGTACTATTATAAGGATTGTTTGACCTTTAAAACTGTCACTATTAGCCCAAAAATACGCTAATTATAATGGAATGTTAATGCGGAGTTGATTAGAAAATACCGCTGGAGTACGCTTGAGCATTTTCGTCCAAAAAATAAAAATGGAGTAACTCAAAACAAAACATAAGCAGACGAAAGCGGAACCCTCCACTGAGTTCGGACCATTCATAAATAACCGAGAAAGTTTACTCGTGCCTGAGACACAGCTCAAGCACTGATCGCACTTAAAGGAAAGACGTTGTCCTTTTCAGGTAGCTGCAAGTACAGCCTTTGCCTATGCTTTTGCAGGGATGAATGCACTAATCACTCACTTCTTCGTAAAATAGGCTCAATAACTCAGAAAAGACGGTTCAAGGCATTGACAGGTGTTCTGGCTGCCTAAGCTACGTTTTGTTAGCATTTTTAAGTAGTACGTTAATCGCTTGGTTCTAAGTTAAGGCTTTGCATTTTCTAAGCCACATAACAATTCATGCGATGCTCTTCTCAAAGTATTCAGTTGTTCTAATGAATGCAGAAGTTAACCAAAACATTGAGTTACCGTTTGTCTTCAATGAAGTGGTAATCATTGTATGTATCCAAGTCCACGAACTCATTCGAAATGGAACAAGATCCGCGCTACAATTCACTGCAACTTCATGTTTGGACGTGGAGGCACGGTACAAAATCATCACGGGTCAATCAAAACGTATGCAGTCTTACTTAAAAAGGATAAGGCCACACGTTACAGTGACATGCTGAGCTTGTAGCCCTGCCATTCTAGGATGCAATGTTAAAACCTAAAGTAGTAGTATGGAAGAAAGACTAAGCAGTCACTAGCCTGCTTCGGAGACCACGTCACAGAGACCAAAGTTTCAGTTCGGTGAAGCAGCAAATTACTACACTAATGCCCCATTTAACCAGCATTCAAAGCATTCCTCTCCCAGCATTGTGCATTGATAACTTAAAATGGACACAGCTGGCTGATGCCAATCCAGTAGTGTCACAAGTGACAGGTAACTGACTTGTCGCCCAATGTGAATGGAGCAGCATGCATTCGAACAAAATTCCAAAGACCTCACCCACCATCTTTACTCGTAAGAAGCAGAGTTATCAACTTGATGAAACAAATCAGACAAAACATGAGATCACGGACAAGTCCAATAAAAATGCATCTTTTTAATTGAAAATTCTGTATCTAAGATGAAGTTGAATGAAGGTATGAGCAGGGATCAGCAGTTGCTCCGTGCTATTCAGAAGCAAACCTCAGTTGCTGGTTTATGCGCATCCTATCAGATAAACAAGTGTAATCTGTTCCACAAATAATGCTGAACACTTTATTGTTTCAAAACCAGTAAAAAAAAGCACTAAAAGTATGCTAGATTGATCTCGTTGATAATTAATTTTTAACTATTATATAGTTTCACAAAACTGTCTCAAAACCGCTTTATCTGCGATGTAGCGAGGCTAAACCGCAATTTTCAGACCAAATTAATTAGAAACCTTTAGTAAGATTGAGCCACCTATCATAAATGTTGGAACTTTCATTTCCCTGTCGGATACAGCAGTTAAGAATACTGTATCTAAGACGAGGAAAAAATGACTCTAAACTATCGTCGTAGAATTTTATACAGTTTAGTAGTAGTAAGTTACAGTTATAAAAGCATAACTACCATTACTAGATCAAAAAGGCGAGCGCGTTGTTTCTCTCTCAACCTTTTTTTAACATAAAAGGACCACCGCATTCCCTTCAGTTTCTTTGGTGGTGGATATTCTCTCACGTATTATGGGTAGTGCAGCATAACACAAATCATACCTTCTACACGAAGCTCCAGATGCCGTTGCAGCAAGAAACTGTCAGATGAAAGTGGAAGCAAAGGGAGGCAATGCCCATCAAAAACAAAGTCAAATCTTCACAACGCAGATAAAGAGGATAAGAGCTGAGTCGGCACCGAATAATCACAGGTTTTCAGCCTTATACCACCGTCATGCCACAAGCTTAAGTTGCAAGATCATGCAGAACCTAGTCAACCTCTCACGAAACGTAACCCAATTTAACAACTCAAAAGTGTCTGAGTGTAGTTCGCGCCATCTTTAGAACAAATAGTTCTAAATAGTTCCCAATCAAATACTCCAAGGGCAAAATATTCCCATTATCATAAACTAGGGTGATAAATCACGACTCCAAGAATAATAATAGCCTTGTCGCCCTCGCATCTCCGCAGAGGTTAGCAGCAGTATCATCCGCTGCACTCACTGCCCATTCGACAACGGCCAAGGAGGCAGTGCCGCAGAACGGTCGACTGCTGCCTCCTCTGAGGCAATGATATCCTATTCAGTGGCGTACGGTCCTACAAATATCTTATCTGGCTTGCTACTATCGTTTACACATGCACTCAATCAACATATTTGCTTAAACACTGTGAAACTATTTTATCCATGCAACGACCTTCTCACTAGCGATATTTAAGCAAACTTGCAGTTTTAAAATGCAAGCGCCCCCTTTAAGGTACAAACCATGAGGATTCCCAGAAGATCATTCTCACGTGGAGAGGAGCAGAAAATAGCAACACTTTGAACAAACCTGCAGTCAATTCGGGATTTAAAAAACAATTTCGCATTTATCACGGACAATTACATAAATTGTCAATGCCCAATTAAACACAAGGAATCATGGGAATGACAATGACAGTGGATAAACAAAGGGCACGCACAGATGCGAAGGAAAATTAAGAATTATTGAGTTCCTAGTAAAATAACACTTAAGAGCTTAAAAGCAACGACGTCAACGAAATTTGGGCCGCATATTTAAAACAACAAATTAGAGTATAATTTAGTAGCTCAAATGTTCTTCCCTTAAGACTCACATTCCCGGTTCAAAAAACCCTGGCAATGCTTTCATTTGAGTGGAATTTGTGCTTCCTTCGATCCCACTTATAAAAAAACTTAAAATAGCATTCATAATTTACCTAATAAAGCAATTTTTGACACAGAAATAGGCTTTCTGCCATCATATGCTGTCCCCAACCTCCTGCTGTTCGAAACCTGAGTAGTCTTCATGAACAATGCCAGCAGCGCCGGCAGTAGAGCAAGAGGTTGAAGAACAAGAGACACTCCAGAAGGGATGGAAGGTGGTGGAAACATTGGTACCAACGCTGGTATTAGTGGTATTTGTCTCCTCAAAAGCACTAGTTACGATAGGGACAAGAGAAAGACAGTCAGAGGAAGGTAATGTGTGTAATTCCTCGCCCCCTTCCCCGCCACCCCCTCCACCACCGGCATTTCCTTCAGCTCCACCTCCACCAATAAGATAGCCAACGGAGAAATTGTTGCCCCCAACACCAACAGCTCCCGTGCCTTCCACATCCTCCTCGGCTCCAACTACTTCACAAGTTAGGAAATCGCAAATGAGGTCGTCTGCAGGCACCGCGCTGGTGGTACCAAGATCATCGACGTCTTCTTCGGAGCGCCAAAGATGGGTAGTAGGTTGGTGGGACGTCACTCCTGACACCGCCGTTGACGGACCCTGCGGGGGAGGTGGAGGAGGGGAGACGGTATGGTCGTCAAGTTGCGTGGAGGGAGAGGTGGGAGGAAGGAATGAGGAGAAAAAGTCACTGACGCAGGGTAATATGGTGTCCCCGCGGGGGGCAGCAAGGGTGTGCGAGGGGAGCGGAGGTGGTGGTTGCGATGGTGGGGGAGGATGATGCATGATAAGGCCCTCCTCAGTAATGGTGGCTGTGGAGGTTGTAGCTGGGATCCACCCTGAATCCGTCTCGAAGGCGACTACATAAACAGGCTCTAGGCCAGTTGTGGTGGTCACTGAAGTGCAAAGTTGATCACCCGTCGTCTAAAAATACACATCCACAGTACGTTACTACTCGATCAGTCTGACTAAACTGCCAAGGATGCCTGAGGATCCATATTTGAAAAGAAGGCACAAACAACCTCACACAAATAGCACATATCACATCAACCCTACTCTCGTGATAGCTAATAAATTTCACCGAATGATGAAAGTACTGTATTAAACAGTTCTATATGCTTTTAAGTAAGGGACAATGCGTGATTAAGTAGGATTTTTGAAAAGATGTTATCGGAAGTTGATAGATCCTTAAACAAAGAGGGAAAATTGAGTTTTACAGTAATGCAACTATTTATAAATGGGAGGATAAAAAGCAGCCTAGTCACCTTGTAGGGCGTCCGGGCGCGGTAGAGTTATCGTAGAGGAACGTAAGCGACAAAATACATCCTGTTCAATGGACATTACACTCCAAACCGAGTGCCAAGTTAATTGTGTTGATAAAAAAGCTTACAAAGGTGAGAGTTATTTAAAAGTCCACAAATACAAGACAAAAAATGAAAATACAAGGATATACTTAATTCTTCCTAAAAGGTTGTTCCAGTTATCGTTTTGAAAAGCCAACAGATCAACATAACAATACCAATGCCTTGATTGAGGAGAGCTGCTTGATTACATCAGGTAATATATGAAAATGGTACTGGTTTAATGGGTTACCGATTAGAGCGTTGAAAACAACAGTTTTTACAGATATTACCATTCGAGCTAACTAACAGACTACACATTCGATTCCGATGCCGAAATTGATTTCTCCTCTTTTAGCCCTCCCCGAATTCAAAAAAAAGCAATTCAAAGATTACTCACGGAATGCACACGAGCAGGCTCGTAATCCCACAGCGGTTCTGCTGAAGTGGTCGACGACACCGGCATTGATTGGCGATCGTGTTCATGCTGTTGCTGAAGAATGGTTTTCCGTGGCTGCTGCTTCTGCCGGTTGGTTTTCTGCGGCCTGCCGCGTCCGCGTCGATTTCCACCAGTAACAGAGTGGACGGAGTCCTTGTGACGTTTAAGGTTGCTCATACGGTTGAAGGAAGCGTCGCATTGGTTACAGAGGAAGGAAATGTCAGTATGCGTCTTCTGATGCCGACTCAAGGTTCCTGGTGTCTAATTGAACAGACATTTATCATCACCGGGATTTGTTGAACATTATCGTTGGCTTCTCATGTCTTTACAAGAACTGCCATATGACATCATGCATTATATTTACTTCCAATACAAATATCAAAAACTGTACTTGAATAGTGAAAACGTAAATTGGCCAAATGCCCTAATATGTTTCCCCGAAATGAGTAAGAAGCTCGAAATTGAACAATTAGACCAAGCTGGTAAGTGATGCAACACAATCCAGTGTGGACATTTTTCGATTCTTGAGAACGCCAACTACAACGAAAGTAATGACAGTCTATGGTTTTTGTAAGACGATGGAGGTGCTTCTAACTTACTTACCCTAAAGCTACTCATAAATAGAAAGAATTACCACTTTCTGAAAAAAGCGCTATACTTCCTCAATTGCGGAATTCCTCCCAATTTCAAAATGTGGAGTAAATGGCAATCCGTAAAAAATTGGTTCATGTATGAAATTACTTATGGAGTACTGCTATTGTAGTCATTGAATAAGTCTTATTAAAGAAATAGGAGACATTTGAACGCACTCTTGACACAACTCACTGGATAAAATGATGACAATGAAACGCCTCCCATTTAATCTCATTCGCATAAGTACCTGATAATGAATAATTTCTCTGTGGAAGGATGATCCAATACCAATTGAAGCTTATATATCTGCGAAAAGGCGTGATTCTGACACGAAAACGAAACTGCAGCGAGTATTACAAATAAAAAGAAGGTAACTATGAACAGAAAGGTGAAAATAACACAGCTTCCAGGACGAGCGTTTGCTACACGCAGTTAACTGAAGTGGACTGATTATTAATCGCTACAAGACTAACTGATCAGAGCTAAATCAGATGTTTTACCCTCAAACACGTGAAAATTCCAAAAAAGTCAGAATTTTAGGAGGATGATGGGCAAAGTAGGTTAAATTGGTTCGATGAAATTCAAAACTCTGCAAAACATCACACTCATAATGCCGTCATTATGCAATGGTCATTTCTGACCCGGAAAAATTTGGGAAAGGAACACATTAACTTTTATAATATAATGACAGATAATGAAGAACCTAGTATTCGGGTTCGATAAACTTAGTTTGAGTGGGCGAGATCGACAGTCATAGGTGGCTCTGCAAGAGAAAAGAAATCTTCTCTCACTGTTCACTAAAGTACAAGTCATGACAGGAACACAACTACTTTACTATCTCCTCTTGAGTTCGGACTTGTTGTGAATTAATCTCAACCTAGAGAATGGCACAAATTCAAGCAAGAACATGGTAGAGCATTATTTCTTATTTACTCGAGCATTTTTTAGCAAGGCAAGGCGATTTGGCCATTGTGATACTCACTAGAGAAAAATTTGGCATCGACAAGCGCGTGCAAGAAAAGAACTCGAATTTCCGCCATTTAAGTAACAAACACCTACTGCATCAGTATCTGTCGGCTTTCACACTAAGCTTGTCCCACGCCTTTTCACCAGGAGAGTCTCCGCACTTTCCCAAAAATGAAGTAAAAACGTATGTCTGGCTGGTTATCTATGTCAGTTGGCTTGTTGATATAAGTCACCACCCATTAAAAGATTACTATGTTCAGCTGCCGAAAAGCGAAAAACAACATTACTAATTAAAAATGCATTACGAATAATACTTTTTGACGAATTTGGTTTTGTAATAAACGCGAAAGGTAAGATGTGAGGGTTTTAACAATATCACAAAACCCTGGAGTAGCGCAGATTCCCCACTGGATAAGTACATGAAGATCTGTTGCTGAGAAAAGTGGATGTTGACCTGTGCACCTCAGCTCTCCTCGCCAATGTGACTGCTGAGGTTTAAGGTTACCAGTGTTTCACCAAAGACGCATATTTTGTGCCAATTTCAGCAAAGCAATGGCAAGATTATAACAAAGGATGCAAATATGGCTTTGGTAAATAGATTTATAGAGGTTTAATCCAGTGACTTCGCAATTCCTGCAGTTTTGGAAGTGAAACCAATCCGTTAAAACTTTGGATGGATAGCAATGATCATTCAGCTTAAGAGGAAGATCGAATGAAAAAGGAAATTCCTTGGTGTTAGCTTGCGATTAACAAATTTAGTCACTCCATGTGCCATGCAGCGTCACCAATAGTATACGTAACTTAAATACAGTGGCACAAATAGAATGTAAAACAGCCCTTCGATGTACAAAATTTCAAAATAAATTTGAAACTAGTCTATACAGTGCAAAAAAGATCACGAATAAGCCTCATTGTTACTATTCTCATGGAAGTCTTCGAAGACATTACGAAGAAAGCCATAAAACCTCACCTACAATAAAGGGAGGGAAGATAAATAACGATATTCCGGTACTGAAAACAAAACCCGAAGGATACGTCTCCACTCGACGCAATAAGTATGGTAAGTTAAAATGCACCAAAATATGATAAACCTAATCCGCCTCCAAGAGCGGTGGATAATCACTGTGATTTACATTCATTCGGACATTTCGAGCCTGACACCAGGCAGCAGAGCTTGGATTGATAACGACCAACAATAACATCAAGCCCTTCCGATTTAAAAAAGGCTATCTGATGAGCCACATCAGATCCAATCATGCACAAAATCCAACCTCCATGGCCAATGGAAAAAGAAAGGCTCATGCAGCTCTAGACATTGTGATCAAATGAACCAACCTTAGGAGTATCAACATTCAAAAACAACGACTGTCCTATTGAGCTCTCTTCAACAAAATAACAGTTCCACCCTACCAAAAAGCACAAGACCCCTTCGAAATTGTGAATCTTTTCGGTAGCGATAAAATTAATAGGATCACTTGAACATTTACTCAAGGTAGAGCCCTAGTGACAGAATGATCTCGAGTGTCAAAGGGTGATTATATTAAAAAGTGTCTGTCTTAAAGAGTAACATTCCTACGCATATAATACGGGTGCATTTGGCCTTGTTGTTGTGCCAACAAAGGGTGTTATAAACGCCTTAAAGCTTTAAACCGGACTGGTTTTATTCCTAACAGGAATGGGCGAAAGACAGCAGCTCATTGTTCATCAATGTAGAATAGGGAATTCCGTTGATGAGGCTAAAGATAACCAGGTCGAAATCCCCTAACATACATTTGAGTTGCAAATTTTACGTCAACGTACCAGCGTTATTAAGCACACGAGTGGACAAGAATTTCTTCACCATATTAATGGATGACGATCAAAAAGATATCGTTCGATCTTGCAAATGCGCTATCAAACAAAATGTTGCCCTACAAAGCCGTCACTACACTTTTAACGAACTTTCGGCTTAAGGAAGGACTATCCTCGCACTTCCCAGCTCGGAAAATAAGTCAACCGTTGGGGTTGACGCAAGACTGCTAGGAATCCAATGACGCAGGCTACCTAAAACCACTGGGTATTGCTGCTCATCTAAATTACAAAGAATAAAATGATGGTGAAGTGGGAATTTACAAATAAAGGGCAGCTAACGCCGATGGAAATTGTAAGATAAATGTAATGAACCAACACTGTAAGCATAACAAAAGAAACGATTGTACCGCATTAAAAACTTAGCAGTCAACTAATCATCGGTTGTTTCATCTCAACGAAAAGGAACGCAAAAAGTTAAGAAAGATACAAGTGATAGGCAAAAAAGGTTGATTCAATTGTCTGCCCAGGACATTTCACTTTCCTGGATATAAGTAACACAACTATTCATGCCACTAGAGCTACTGATCTTTTGTACCTTCTGTACATAACCAATAGACTTAGGTCTATTTTCGTAGGCCTCGCAGCGTCCTCAAAAGGAACTCGGACGCTGCAAGGTCACAGGCATCTGACAGAGGATGGAAGAGAGTGAAATGAAGCTATAAAGGGAAAAAGGTAGAGAAGGATAAAAGAGCAGGAACTCACCTTGAAGGTAGCTTGACAGTCAGGACATTTAAAGTCGCGTTTGTCGCTGTGCTTGAAACGCACGTGATCCTCCAGCTCTTGTTTCGTTATGCATCGGTGATCGCAGTGCTGTAGCGGTAAGGGGAAAGAGGACAGTGAAGAACTCTTACAACACACTAGGTTTTTGTGCCTTATAGGTGGGGTCTGTAATTGAGGATACATATAGTACCTTTGTAAAAGCGGTCTCGAAAGGAGAGGGGGAAAAATTGCACAGAAGGCCCAAGAACCAAATCCGAAAAAGATGTAAAAGCATTGGGTTTCAAACGCCAATAACAATTAACGTGAATCTGCCGACAGTTCGGATTTCTTCAGCTTCTGGAAGTTAAAAAGTGTACATACCTGCGTCATATCCTTGTAAACTAGTTTTACTATTAAGGGTAGCAGTGGACTTTTATAGAGATAATTATAAAGCAGAGGTGAAACCTAAGAGTGCAGAAGAAAAACTGTCCCCTTAGTGCCTTCGCATCGGGCTAGACGGAGTATCAAGATACCGTTTTCAGCAAACAGAAACCGTGACAGCAGATTCTCCGCATTCCTGATCACGGAAAGATCAAAATCGGCTAGTATTTGACTCGCTTCCTCAGATCTAAGCACCGAAAATTTTGCATGATTGATGACAAAACCTTCGACAAAACCTTGAAACGCACGATAGAAGAGATGTGAAAAGGGTGGGGAAAATTATTTCACACGTTTTGTGATGCCTCCAAATTATAAATTGTTACAGCCACACCCAGTGATTGACTGCATGTCGTAGACAAAACTCTCTTGAGCACTTGCCACGGAACCAGTTAGATATTTTTCAGAGTTGGCTTTATGAACACAAGTAACCAAGGACAAGTCCTGTAAGTACACTTCAAGCTATGTTCTAAAAGTTCGTTTTGCATAATTTTCAGAGCACCAAAAAAATTACTATGACTTCATTGCTGAGGGTTATGAGTGGGATACAAACGTCACACAGAGAGCCACGTGTCCCCTGGATGACCTTTCAGAAATGCTTTTAAAAATCGTATTAGATTCTGAAGGTTTGAATGCGTGCGAAAAATTGGGAGAAATTAGTTCCGATTTGTATTTACCCAAACTGCAAAATGATAAGATATATGCCCGTAATATGAGGACCAGACAATGCGCAGTAACTGCTGTGCAGGACGATTAAACTTGTGTGGCAGTGCAGCGCCTGATGAAATGATTAAAGCAGAAGCTACCGCAAAATGGGAGAGTCTCTTCATCCTCAACATTAACACAGAAGTGATTCTAGAGTAAAGATTCCCAATCCTTGAACCACTGAAAACTGAGGTCATAGTGGTGGATTGGCCGAGCTATTGCCGTGGAGGATCAGTTACTGAACTTGTATTCCTTGTTAAAATAACTAATTTAAGTCCAGGTGAAGGCGCCAAAAAAAAATCACGCCTCCAGAAACACGAAATCTACAGTTGATGACAAAGTATTCAACGACTATACTTGATTTCTAATGTTGCGAGAAGCTGTCGAACAGTAAGTGAGAAATCCTCAGAGAAAATTTGGCAAGACAAACACCAATTCCCGACCTTAACGATTACTAATGTAGTGGCGAAAATCAACATTGAAAACCGAAGTTCATATCGTACTTGGAGGTTAAGACCTTAAATTAGGAAGTGGAACACGCAAAATTGCAACAACTCATTAACTACTGAAAATTGAGAGTTCAAGAAGTTAGCAAAGCTTCAAAATGGAATCACCCAGAAATTCCAGGTGCATATAAAATTTCCGAAAATCCAATAAACGATTCAATGTAATGAATCCCTTGTAGTGGAAAAAACTGCCTAAATCCACAAAAATAATGATCTTACCGCTCGAATTGGCACCCAACGTCAACGCACATGGGGAATTTCGGTGTGCGCATGTTCGTGGGCGGTTAGGCTGCTGCCCAGCACACAGCATTGCAAACAAGTCAAATATTAACTCATGCATACACTATAGTTCGAATGGTGTCATAGTGTAGTTCGCGCCAACGTATAGCACAAAACTATTCACGTCTATACAAAAATCCAACAATCACCTACTCAACTATGGGAGTTTTTACAGTCTCTTGAGACTGAGTCGCTGCTCTGATGGCCTTCAGGAGTAACGCGAGGAATGCGAGGTGACTACTGCGAGTACCCCAATTTGGAGAGATTAGCAACTATGATGCCATTAAAATCGCGCCCAAGTTTGGCCTCAGCCTCAATATCGAACTGTATTTTGCCAGCAGAAAATAAATGCTCAAAGTGGTATTTAACGATACTGCGTTAGGACGCACTTCCTTGTATTGCAAGAAGGTGAAAGGTGACTATGCAGGCGGCCTAGTAAAACCGGAATAGTAGTAGAACAAATGAACCACATTCTAAGGTGAGGGGCATTCAGAGTAACTGAAGTAGTTGTGACGACATGTTTAACAACTCGCATTCTTAAGCCTCCGAAATGCAACCGCGTCAATTAGGACCATAACATACCGTTCCTGTTATTCATGCTAATAAAAAATTAAAAGAATTTGGTAGAATCATAAAGTAACGTTCCAGAGCAGGATAAAATGGAAAG